AACTTCACTTTGTAAAAATCTGCAATCTGCTGTTTTATGCCCGTGATCATTATGGAACTCGCAACTTATACTATGGGTTATTGTTATCCTTGTCATCAACACCTTTTTTTTTACATTTGCCATTGACCTTAACAGAGCTTCGGTATATAGTGGGTGAATTTCATGTGCTAAGATTTTCGGAAAAACAGCATTAGATTTACCCCTTTACTTTTAATCATGTTTTAAACTTACCCTACAGTTATACTTCAGTTAAGTATAGATCTCCATTAGGTGCAACAATAATAACAACAACAACAACAATAACCTAGTAAAATCTCATAAGTGGAGTCTGGAGATAAAGAGGTTGTTTCCGATATATGAATATTCATTAAGAGCATAGGAAAATATAAAACGATTTAACACTAATACGAATAATCCTAATATTTTGTACAGTAAATGAGGATTTATTTTTATCCTGTTCCATGTATTAGTATTAAATGAGGTGTGAGCGGTTGTTGGGAATTTTGAATTAGGCTTGGAAGACACGCACCCAAGAAAAGGAAAAGCATATGGCTAAGTTGTGTTGACTAATTAAAACACCTTGCTTCCCAAGTTTTCCCACCTCTTCCACCTCCAAAACTCTCTACTCTTCCTATATATAAACCGAATCCATCACCATTTCTACAACCAATTCAACCATTTTTAAGCTCACAAAAAATTCAACCAAAAATGAAGAGAGAAGGTCGCCAACACGGTATGGTTCGTACTTACCCAATTTTACCTTCTTCTTGGAACCCAAAACCCGAGCCAAGGTACATCAACAAGTCCAATTCACCACCAACCGCTGGGCTTTTTACAAAGGTTTCAACTAAGCCCTGTAACCATTCCAAGTTCACAGGCAAGTGCGGTAGGCCCAGATGCAACAGCTGCCATATTCACCCAGCTGGAAAATCGAAGGACAAAACTAAAGGAACTCAAAAATTAAAGGGACGTGGCGACGTTGTTTCGAATTATAGGTTGATTACTTGGAGAGTTGTTGATTCCAGACCTGGGTTGAATTTTTCTGGGTTTTCGGCTTCTGGACTTTTGGATCATTTGGATAGTGATTATTCTTATTACATGGATCATGATGATGATCATGGAATTTACTATGATGCCCCTGATGGAGATTATTTTAACGACGAAATTGGATCGGAACTGGTAGTTGACTCCAATTGGTCAACACCTGGAGTTGAGATTGAGGAGATTGATGAATGTGAAGATAATGGGGATGATGATGAAGAAAGAATGAGTTTCTGTGAGGTGGGATTTGTGTGGGAAAAAGTTGAAGAAGATGGAGATTGGTGTGTGGTGGAAGAAATGTAAAAATTGGGTGCGTTCTTATTGTATTTGTATTTAATATTGTGACCTTTCAATATTGTTCCATTTCTGTAATTGTATTTACTTGTCAAATAAATTGATTATTTTACAGCAATGAGATGGCGTTGATTTGTGAGAAAGTTGCAGTTTTTGTATATGCATTCAACCTAATGGTTAGAAAAATGATTATTTAACGAATTAAATTTTATTATTATGAAATTAGTTTATGTGCATTACCATTATTTAAAAAAAGGATCAGAGTTCGTAGCTGCTGTCTGACTCAGTTCACCGAGAATATGAGCATCTTCCATATTCTTTTGTGCCAATATAAGATGATCGTGTCGTGTAAGGAAATGATTGTGTACGACTCCTTTTTTATTGTTATTGTTATCCTTTTAGATGCACCGAACAACCGTCTTATTTTTGCATTGCCTTTTCTATTTTGGGCGAGTAACAGCTTGTTTGGATGGTTGTTACTTCTCGTTTCATAATGTATCGTATTATATCGTATTGTATTGTACTGTACTGTATTATTTGATGAATACAATGTTTGAATGGATTATGTCATTTTATCGTCGTTTTATGGTATCATGCACCAGTAATATAATGAATAAACTTGCAATATTATAACAAAAAATTTTGATACGGTATATAAAAAGGTAGGGTAAATGATAAAATAAAATTATTTAATACTTATGAAGGGTGAGATTGAGGGGTTGCTCTGATGGTAAGCAACCTCCACTTCCAACCAAGAGGTTGTGAGTTCGAGTCTCCCCAAGAGCAAGGTGGGAAGTTCTTGGAGAGAAGGATGCCGGAGGCCTATTTGGAATCAGCCTCTCTACCCCATGGTAGGGGTAAGGTCTGCGTACACACTGCCCTCCCCAGACCCCACTAAGTGGGATTATACTGGGTTGTTGTTGTTGTTGTTGTTGTTGTTGAAGGGTGAGATTGAGAGAAAAACCCAAGGAAACGACGCGACCACACCAAATCGGCCGTTACATAAGTGACACATTTCATCATTACGTAACGACGGATTTAACGATAGGCTACAATAAAATTTAAGTAACAATCATAACAAACATTGTATTTAAAGTAACAATACGATAGATAACAACCATCCAAACAAGCCGTAAGTTACAAAAATAAAATATGTGGTTCAGCAATGTCGTCGGCTAAATATTAAACATTTTTTGCCTTTCCTCTCCCTTTTCCCTTTCTTTCACAATTTACCATCTTGTTTATATATCAGTCTCGCCCACGGGTAGCAGGGGCGGATGGAGTTTAGAATTATCAGGAACCTAGTATTTTCGACGCGGAACATAAACTTATAGGTAAAAATTACTAACATTACAATAAATAAAAGATATGAATCCATAACTTTAAAAATATAATAGATTCAATGGTAAAAACCTTGTATGTTGAACCTACAAAGCTTAAATCCTGGATCCACATGTACGGATAGTACCATACACATGCTTATGATCACAACAGGCAAACACAAGCCTTAGATTTATAATTTGGCTAAAAATGTTATACTAACTAAATTGAGCTGGTCTTGTATTTCACAATGCAATCGTTGTGAAATGAAAATTTAACGATCTCAAAGGCTAAATACAAGGACACAGGGTTACAACTCTTTCTAAACCATAACACATGCATCTCCTGCCTCTAGATGGCTTTTATACAAGATTTTAGAGTTTGAGGAGGACCAGGCATTTCTAAAAAAAATACTACTCTTTGCAAGGAACGAAAATTTTATAGGTTTTCAACAAGTCTTCTTTCTTGGATTCATGCAAGAGTCATTCTTGGTCAAAGATGCAGAAGCAGGCTTCGAGACTAAGCCTTGCTTTGAGCTTGGATAGGGCATTCTTCGAAGCTTGGGCAATTGTGCAACTGGAGTCTGCACAAAAAATAAACCATATGAAATGCTGCTACCAAGAATATATAGTAGGAGAAAATCGCGGAGAAGGATGCTGATCACAATAATCAGTTCAGTGTCTAGACTGTCATTCATCGTGGAGCCTAGTTGATTTATGTCATCACGAAAAAAGTGGGGACAAAAGTAGCTTTTAATAATAACTGAATAATGAAGGAATAATACAATGTAGTGGTACCTTTTTTCTGGGATCTATTGCTGTTTCTCTTTCCTTGTAGAACTCAGGCAGGGGGCGAGCTTTGAAGCAAAAGCTTTGCCGAAGTTTCCTGAACTCCGATTCTGCTTTCTCCTGCAAGCAACATTGTATTGTTTGTTGATACGAATTTGACTTTATATTGATCATTTGCAATTTAAAATGACACTCCAATGTTAGAAATTTTGGTAAGAAAAAGTACTGTAGGATATGAAAAGAGCGGATTAAAGGTGTGTAAACTTCGTCTCTTTCCATTAAGCATTTTCAGGGAACAAAAAGAAGTACCAAATCCAATTTGCATTTGTAAGTACCAAACCCAATTTGCATTTGTAAGCCATTAGCATGAGTAACAGATGCTAAAGATGGTTTAGATGTGTTTTATACTGAATCTGAATCATGTGTATATAAAGATTGTTAGTTTTCTTCCGCTTAAACATCTTATTCCAATATTTGACTCCAAAGCGAAGAATAGAAAAGATGATGCTAAGCATGTGCATATGTATAACTAAATGTTAGACACTTTAATTTTTCTACACTATAGAGCAACCTTTCCTTGTTATTATTAGAAACCATAAGAGGAGAAATGGAGGAAAAGAATAGGAAATGTCAACTCCCAAATTGACTACAAGTGAAAAGACCAGAAGTGGCTCTGTAACGATTTCTACCGAAATGTTCAGGGTGGAAATAACCCCTTCTCGACCCAACTCCTGCAAAATCTTTGCTCCTTTCTTGGATACAACCAAACCGATTGCATTAGTACAAAGACAATCACACCCCTTACAGCATTCAAAAGTTTTAAACAGAACTTTTCATAAGAAAGAATTTTGCAGCAAAGTATAATTTAGCATGATCATAAACATGAGAAGGTTAAGAAGTCTTAGATTGCTCATTTCTGTATGCTTAACTTGGCAAAGGTAAGGCAATTTCTGTTTTATAGGACAAGATACAATTGTTTGGATCAATTGACAGTCTTTTCTTAGTAGTATTAAATAATTATTCTTTCAATAATTTTTAATGTAATATTAAAAAAAATATTAATCCAATATTAAAAAACTGAAAAGGAATTATTAAATCTTTACCCTAAAATCTTGAGCTTAACCACTTTAATTCTGCATACCATACCCAAAAAGATTTTGAACTTATATTATGATCTCATTCCTAAGTAAAGGTTGGTCAAAGTTCACACACTACTTTTCTTTGTTTTCGTTGTTCAGAAAATAGGAGGTGCAGAATTCATGGTACAGACAAACATTATACAAGCCATAGGGGAAGCTTTGCATAAGGAGTCAAACCTTTAATGTCGTTTGTGGTTGGACTTTCTTTACCTCCTTGGCATTGAATTTCTCTTCAAGCTTCTGAAAATATTTGCACAAGTACAAGATATATGAGAACATTGGAGTTTTCATAATGCAAAGGGAGATATAACCCACATAAAAATCCTACTATAAATTTAAATATTACACTCGCCTGTTTTCTTTGTGCAGCTCTTTCTTCTGTCCTCAAGTGGAAAGGAGTAGATGAAGTTGGTGATTGTAATTTGTTTCGGTAGGCCGTGAAAGACTTGGAACTGAACAGGGAACACCAAAGGTAAGAGAGATCCAATGGCAAACAACAGTGGCACAATTTTAAACTAAATAACCCCAAATTGGATACTTTGCAGAAAGAATACAATCACTGTTATGGTGCATGATGGATTGACGCACCAATATACTCTTGTTGACAAAAATGAAACTATTCCTGTGCGGAGATAACTAAGTTCAAGTGGAAAAAAAATTGCATCTCAGATTTTTTTTACAAAGTCTCCAGCATTCAAACTGTATTCACCAAAATCCACTTGTTTTGAAATACCGCAAAGTCTGGCTACTTAAATGGGACTTCCAAATAGCAGTTTTAACATGTTAAGAGAATAAAGTTCTACTTCGATTTGTTTCAATGTACAAATGATTATGCTACATTTTGAAGCCAGAGTCATCATTTTATAGACACTTACACAGAAGATAAAATGTTCCACTTAGGCCCCGTTGTTTTACTTCCTGAAGCTGAGGGATGAATTGGTGTTTTGATCCTGTAAATTGGAAGATACGAAAACCAAAGAACCATGTTAGTGGTTTGTCAGTGGAAGCAATGCTTCAATGAAATGCTATTACATAAGAAAGATTGTATACAGTGATATATATGGAAGTATACCTTCTACTTTCTGAAGATGGCGTTGTCATTGGGCGACTTGATGCACCATTTGATGCTGCCTGTAGTTGAAAAGACAAGTAATCTTAGAGAATCCTAGATTATTATCAGGATTAGCATTTATATAAAGAAGTTTACCATGGGAGTCTTGAGAGGAGTTGCGCACTTCTTAGTTGCCGCGCCAGCAGTAGGAGTGACCATTGAACTATCCTTCTTGAAAGGGGGAGGTGGAGGAGGTATTTTATTAGACTCTTTCGCAGCAGTAAGATTGATCAGTTTACTTAAGGATTTTGGGGTTGATCTCATTTCATTCTTTAGGTCTAAAGCGGAATTTCTTGTGATTGGAGTGAAATTGTTTTCTTTATCGACATCAAGAGGAATGTCATGCCTAGCAGGTGAAGGTGGGACTTTAAATTTTCTAGAATAAACAGATGATTTGAATGAAGAAAAAGCAGACTTTTTCTTGCTAGTCACTAATGCAGCATCATCGTCATCTCGTTTAGAGCTGGAGCTCTGCTGAATCAGATAAGATAAATCAGTTCAATATAGTATTCAAAATCAATACATCGATCAATCAATACGCCTTAATCACAAACTAATTGGGGTCATCCATATAAATTCACTCATACTTGTATATTTTTACACTTACCATCAACCTTTAATAACTGACTATGCTTTTCACAAAGGCAAAATTCTTATAGTATTGGCATGTTTTAGAAATCCAATAGGCCAAAGGACTGTAAAGAACACATAGTTACCTTCATCTTCAGCAAAGGTTTCTCAGTATGAGATGTTTGACTAATCTCAATTAGGCCTTTATTACAAACTAATTAGGGTCATCTATATAAATTCTCTCATAGTTGAGCTACTTTTCCACTCACCAGCAACCTTTTATCCGTATTTGGGACTAACTATGCTTTTCACAAAGCCAAAATTTCCTATAGTATTGGCATCATGGGCGAAGCTACACTATGGTAATGGTGGTCAATTGACCACCCTTCGTCGGAAAATTACACTGCGTATATAGGTAAAATATTAGGTTTTAGACATATATAACATAATATATTGAACACCCTTTGTCATGGAATTTTTTTACTTCTTTCAAGTTTGAAAACCCTAAGGAAAATTTCTGGCTTCGCCACTAATTGACCACCCTTCGTCGGAAAATTACACTGCGTATATAGGTAAAATATTAGGTTTTAGACATATATAACATAATATATTGAACACCCTTTGTCATGGAATTTTTTTACTTCTTTCAAGTTTGAAAACCCTAAGGAAAATTTCTGGCTTCGCCACTAATTGACCACCCTTCGTCGGAAAATTACACTGCGTATATAGGTAAAATATTAGGTTTTAGACATATATAACATAATATATTGAACACCCTTTGTCATGGAATTTTTTTACTTCTTTCAAGTTTGAAAACCCTAAGGAAAATTTCTGGCTTCGCCACTAATTGACCACCCTTCGTCGGAAAATTACACTGCGTATATAGGTAAAATATTAGGTTTTAGACATATATAACATAATATATTGAACACCCTTTGTCATGGAATTTTTTTACTTCTTTCAAGTTTGAAAACCCTAAGGAAAATTTCTGGCTTCGCCACTAATTGACAAATATTAGAAATCCAAATTGAGGCCAAAGGACTGTAAAGAACACACGTTTACCTTAGTTTTCAGCAAAGGCTTCTCAGTATGAGATGTTTCACTAATCTCAGACCCTGAAACTGTTTCTTGATTCTCCCCATTCTCAATCTGGTTTGATGGTTCTGTCTCCATAGCTTCAGGAGTACCAGGTCCCTCCACTGGGGCATCATTTTCTCTCTCCTCCACATCAGCAATTCCTTCACCAACTAATAATGAAGCACTAACTTTGGAATCTGTTACTAAATCAGGGGCTGAATTTTGGGTGATTTCAGAATTAGGGTTTTCTTCATTGGCTTTTTCAAGCAAAGCTGCAGCCTTTTGAGCAGCAATTTTCTTGTAATGAGCTTCAAAGAAAGCTTTTTTCTGTGCAACAGAACCTGGTTTAGCATACCTCTCAGCTTCCTCTACATATTTTTTGTGAGAAAAAGTTGACCATTTATCCCAATCCAATGATTCTGACATAAATCTCCCAAAAGGAACTTGATTCCCCAAGTGCATGCACAGGGTTCCCCTGTATATACAAATCCTCACTCAATTCCATGCCCAAAAATTTCAAGATTTTAAATTTTGAGAGTCTAGAAAAATAAATAGTGGATGTTTAATTATACCTGTTTTGCTTCATTGGGTATAGGAGAAGCATAAGAGAAAGCATGCATAAGACAAGCTGAATCTGCCATCATATCAGTCTGCAACAAAAAAACAGGAGAACAAGAATGGAACCTGAAAAATCTAGAGATTTATTATTCTACCGTTATTTAAATTGTTTTTTTATGGCATGTAATCTCTCTCTCAGAGAATTTAAATTTGAAATTCAAATGAAAAAGGGCGATAAAAGAATAAGATACACGTTGTTTGAAGAAAGGCCACTCATAGAGTAAGAGTAGAAGACAAGAAGCTAAAAAGGTGTCATTTTTTAAATTCGGCCAAGTGCTTGGGGTTCTGGAATTCTGGGGTTTCTTTTTCAGACTTTGGCTAAGACTTTTATTTTTAGTATATTTTTCAATTGGAGGGTTGGACCCACATTGTTTGAACTCAATCCCAATCTCCAACGTTCGGATTTTGTTTTATCTACTATTCCATGATCACATTTTACGCCGGGGCGGAGCAAGAATTTAAAATTTATAGGTTCAAGCTTTTAGTTCTTTAACTTAATGAGTTTTAATTTAATAATTTATATATACTAAATAAATTTCTTAAGATAATGTATGATTTGGACCAAAGTTAATAGATTTGGTCAAACCCGTAATTCGAATGCTAGCTCATTTTATGTGATATTATTTGATCGGAGAATAAAGACTTTTACAAAAATTAAATATGCAAGATATTACTCCCCCGTTCCAATTTATGTGAATCTGTTTGACTGGGCACTGAGTTTAAGTAAAAAATGAAGACTTTTGGAATTTATGGTCCTAAACAAGTCCAAATGGGGCCAGAGTATTGTGTGGTTATAAAAGCTTTTCATTAAGGGTAAAGTTGTAACTTTAAGCTAAATTGTTACCAAATTTAGAAAGGGTTCATTCTTTTTGGAACGGACCAAAAAGGAAATAGATTCACATAAACTGGAACAAAGAGAGTAGTAATTTTCTCTAATAAACCAATAATAACAACAACAAACTCAGTGTAATCTCATAAGTGAGGTTTGAGGAGAAGAGTGTATATGCAGACAGTGGCGGAGGCAGGATCTCCACGAAGGGGGTTCAAAAAAAATATTGTATCGAGTGGGAATTGAACTCATGACCTTATATAGATTTTGAACCACCTTGACCACTAAACTACACTTTTGGATTGTGTTAAGGGGGTTCAAAACTTAATATATAGAGGTAAAAAACAGATTTTGCCTTATATATACAGTGTATCCCCCTTGCGCCCCCCTAAATCTGCCCCTGTATGCAGACCTTACCCCCACCTTGAAGGTAGAGAGAATGTTTCCGATAAACCCTCGGCTCACGAAAAACAAGAAAAAACACAAAGTCATATCAACTATGCTAATATAAACGTTAGGATCAAAACTAATTTTCAAATACACAAAGACATCAACTATTAAAAAAAAGTACAAGAGTATTTTATCACGTAAAATGAACTGATCAACTATTTATTATGAATAGGCCTATCATTGCTCGATTATGATGTCCAAAGTCAATGTTTGGTAAATCCTACGTATCTTTTTCTTAATTTAGAGAATATCTCAAATTGTAGGACTGAAGAAATTTGATTAAAATAGCTGGACTGGATTTAATTTCACGTTTTACTAATACTTGTACTAATTGAAGAGCATTAATTCCAGTCTTCTACGCCAATTTATTTCCAAATAATGCAGTCGAATTCTACAAATTACGTAGTTATTGACATAATTTTAGAGATCTATTTGCTGCTTCGTTTTCATTGGTAGGAGAATTATTTTACGTATTTCTTGAAGCAACAGACTTGGAATGCAAAATATGCAACAACCAACTACCAGTTGTTATAACGTCATTTTTTCCAAAGTAAATTTGACTAGCTGTTTAACTTTAGGAACCACAACAAAAGAGCTATATAAAAAAGCTAAATAAATCTTAATCAGCTAATAACACTCTAATTATGTGCTTTAGCAAATTGAGAACAAAGGGATAATTTAGGGAGGCTGCCACAATTATTTAGCTTTTCTGTAGTAATTTTGGATAAAATACCTTTAATATTTAGCTTCTGTAGTATTGTTTATCTTTTTTCTTTTTGTTACCTATAACGCCACCTTTCAAAAATGTTTCTCTAGCTGACACGTTTTGTATTACTACTATAATTTATTACAAAATTGATTAGTTTTATGCGGATGTAGATTTAATGTATCTTTCATCTTTTATCCGAACTTGACCTGGTAACGAGAGAAGCTCACATAAATGGAGTAAATAGATTAATAAATCCGTCCAGAAGTGAATCCAGGATTTTGAGTATAAATTTAGGACGTGATAAGTTATTGGGTTCGGGATAAATTATTTACATAATATTAAATAGATTTTGTAACACAAATACATAAATATATTCTGTAATTCGAGTAGAAGGAACAAAGACCAAAAACTACGTCCAATCTCTATCACACTTCCTTTTTCTGATACAGATTAAAGAAGACTTCGTTAGATGACAAAAGAAAAAGGAAGAGGAAAGAACAAACTTCCCATTCCATGTCCACGGTGTCATTCTTGACCAAATTGAAAAAAGTCAAATTCTGGCTTGAAGTTATCTATACAGTAGCAGAGAATTCAATATTAACAGTGAAAGAAACAACACTTCTTGCTCATAGGTTTAGATTGAAATGCGTGAAGGACACTGTTCTTAAAGATATTTTATCTATACAGTGATAAATAAAATAGATGTAATTTTTAGGAATCAACAAACTCTTCTAACTACAAATTGGAAATAGAAGCAGTATAAATAGAAGAGAATAACCTAGTAGAAAGTTTTTGAAAATCAGTGTCTTTAGCTCTCCAAAACACCTCATATATAAGTAGAGGATTAACGGCTAGCTTTAGATTAAGAGCTAACTAACGGTTAGTTAAAGATTAATCACCAACGACTAATAGTCTGTTTGGTCAAGCTTCTCCAAAGGCCAAAAGTACTTTTGTTTTTAAAAGCACTTTACTTTTGAGAAAAAGTAGAAGCAGTTTCTGAGAAACAGAAAAAAATAGCTTCTTTCCAAAAGTAGAAGCAGAAACAGTTTTGACTTTTCTTCTTACCAAAAATACCCTTAACAAAATATAGTATATACCGAAATAACCGTTAAACTTAATACTTAGGATATTAATGTATAAGTATTTCTTCTTATTTTTAGGATAACTTTCTAATATATAGTGACTTGAGGGGTGAATTTTTTTATATTTGTTGAATGATTTATAATATATTTAAATAATATTAAAATAATTAAAGTACTTTTTAATTTTGTTTTCATATTTTACTTAAATAAAATTAGAATATTTAATTATTGCTTGTAATAACAAATTTTTGAGATTATTTATTTATTTATTTATTTATAATATTAATTATTAAGTAAATCTATTTATGTTCTTATTCGTAATTTGATAATTAAAAGCACTTTTTGAAAAGCTTGGTCAAACACAAATTATTGTTCAAAAATGCTTTTCAGAGTAATTAGCCAAACACAAACTGCTTCTCTCCAAAAGTATTTTTTTCAAAAGCACTTTTGAAAAATGCACTTCTCAAAATAAGTTGATTTTTCTAGCTTGGCCAAACAGGCTATAAGTATAGTTAATATCAGAATCATCCTTTAATAAATTTGTACTGGCTAGTTTGAAAATTAATTATACCGGTTATATAAGATAATAAGCATGGGTAAGGCAAATATAAGATAATAAAATTAATAAGCATAAGCAAAAATATCTTTTTGCAAAATGTGAGTTGGATCACCATAAATAACAAAATAAAATTAAAAAGGGAAATTTTCTTTCCTATACCATATAGGAAACTATATTACCAAATATATTCATAGTTTGCATATTACCCGTCATGCTAATAGTATTTCTACAAAATATAGACAATTCATTAAATAAAAAATCATTGTAGCTGTAGGCTTCCTTATTTAGGCGCGCTAATATTGGAGAATTAAATATTCTTCCAGATATTTTATAATGCAAATCACGCATTAATATTATCGGCTGTTTCGATTCAAAATTTAGCGACTCTATTTTTGCGATACACAGTGTTCAACATTTTTGCTGATTTCACAAAACAAAAATGACTAAATCCTATACAATTCTTCTGCAACAAACACAATTATGTCTAAAATCCCAATTATGCTATAACTGAATGAGAATTGAGATAGCTATGGGAGATTTAGAGAATTTCAGGTTGATGGCATTGTAGTCGATGAGGATGCGAGTTATAGTCTATTGATTTCTACAATAGCACAACAATTAATGATAGATACATCCGAAAAAATTATAGAAATCAAATACAACGCAAAGGAAAAGAGAGCAGCAATTCCACCATTGACAACCATTAAAAAGCTTTGAAGCTTTGAAGTCGAATTTGGGTTTTCAAAAATCATTATTTATTTGGATTGGGTGTTGTTGAAAATAATTGAGAATATAGTTTGAAGTTTATATCTCAATTTTGAGAGGTCTTGATGAAGATTAGACTTGGTTTTTGGCTGAATTTCAGATTGAAACTCGAAGAAGAAGAAGAAGAAGAAGAAGAAGAAGAAGAAGAAGAAGAAGACATGACATACATTATATGCAGAAATTGTAGACTGTTGTTTATTTATTTTTCTTTTACTCATTTAACTATTGTATGAAAGTTGAACAACATTATATAAAAATTGTATTTAAGTGGTATTATATTATAGTTGTGTATACATGGAGACGAAAAAGGAAAACAAAAACTTATGATCATATCCGCTATATATAATTGTTCACGATTTCAATATGGAATTAAGTATCACCAATGAGAACATAGTTGCAGGTTTGTACTGTTACATTTTCTATCAAATTCTGGTTGTNATATATATATATATATATCAGAATGGATTTTCACAATATTTATAAAATTTATACATATATTCTGCAATAAAACTTCATATCATTTGAAAAATTAATATGAAATACAAAATTTCAATGTTTCTACAAATTATTTACAAAATTTCTACAAACTGCTCATAACAGAATTTATCTTTATTTTCATGCAGGTTCGTCTGGAACACTAAAGTTACTTGATATGTCAACATCTCCCGTTATAGAGGAATATGAAAGTATAAGAATAACAGATAGTACATCAAGTTTTATTGAAGTAGGACAAGTATACCAAGACAAGCAAATTTCATACAACTAATTATACATAGTAAAAATAAATTTCATACAACTAATTATATATTATACAACTTATCTACAATTTATCTATAATTTTCTACAACTTTCACACATTATTTCTACCCAGTTAAATAT